TGCTGCTTGTGTTTATTCCCTTCCCGGAGATGCAGAGCCTGAGGGTTCAGGGCTGGTTGTTTTAAGCCTGGTTGCAATTTATTCAATACCCTCTTTGCACCCCAGGCAGTGCTGGGCGGGTGAATCTCCCCCCTGGCAAGCTTATCCTGGAAGGGGTGAGAGGATGGGGTTTGGGAGAGAGGAAATGTGAACAGACTGGACCAAATGCCTGAAGCAAGAATGGGGTGAATGCTGGGGGTGGGGGGTCATGGAAGGAAGGGGCTGCTAACTGTTGAGGTTAAAGAGGTGATTGGGAAAGTGCCAGAGGTCTGTGAAATCTTGGTCCCTCGTTTGGACTTTATCCTGAGGAAATAGGGGAGCCCTTGAGGGGTAAAGCAGGACCATGTACGATTGTCACCACTTTGCAGATGTGGACATTGAGGTTCTGAGAGGGGAGGGGACTTTCAAAGTTTCTTCAGTCAATAAGTAGCAGCACCCAGGAAAGGACCCAGCTGTGCTTGGCTCCAGCGCCTCATGCTCTCCCTCCTATAGCTCCCTGCAGCCCTGCAAAGGAGCTCTGGAAGGTCCAAGAAGATGCCTCCTGCCTATGGCTTAGTAAAACTTTTGCATGTCTTCGTGGCAGGGGAGTCAGCTGCATGCAGGTGGGTGACCTGGGCAGCATGGTAGGGAGATGGCAGGGACAGGTGATTGTACAGCCAGTCCCCCTACACTCACCCTCTTCCCAGGGAAGACCCCGCCACCCCAATACTCTGCCTTGCCGCCACCACACAGCCCCACACCCAATGCTACCAGCTCCTTCCGCGGGAGGGAGAAGACTACTGATGGGCTTCCAGGTCTAACATGCAGGTGCCAGAGTCCAGGGGACAGTCTAGCGACTCAGAGCGAGGCCCCTGACCAGCAGCAGCTTCCCTGTGACCTCGAAGCTTGCTGGTGATCTCTGGCCCTACCGCCCATTTACTCAACAGTTCTGTGTTTTCAGCAAGATCCCTGTTTGACTTCTCTGCATATTGCAATTTGGGGGGCCCTGTTCTCAAATTCAGCACCACTGATGTTTGGGGTGTGTGTGTGTGTGTGTGTGTGTAGATGTCCTGAGTATTGTAGGGTGTTAATGTCCCACAACCAGCATCCTTGGCTTCTACCCACTAGATGCCAGGAGCACACCTGTCCCACTTGTGACAACCACAAATGTCTCCAGACATCGCCAGTGTCCCCTGAAGGGCAGAATCACTCTCTGTGAGGACTGCTGCCTTAGGCCTTGGCCCCAGGGGTAGAGGAGATCTGCGCAGCCTCAGGCAAGTGCATCCCCTAGGTGTAGAGATCCTCTCTCTTGGCCTCCCAAGAGGCAGAAAGTAGTTGGTGCTTGTAAGAAATGTGATAGACCAGTCAAAAGTATGCGAAACCCACTCTTTCATCGGGGCCTATAAAACATGGCTCTCTCTGGATTCTGCAACTGTAAACATCAGAGCCTTTTCATCATCTCGCTGGTACCATCAGGACCCCCACATTAGAAGACCTCTGGGGCCTAGCAAACACCTTGAACAACACAAACTCGGCCTGTGATCAGTGCAGGGAGTTTTTCTACCAGTTCCAGTTGGAAGAGCTTAGTATGGAGCCAGGGACCTGGGTCACGGCACCTGCCCTCCCCTGCTCTGTGGCTTCGGACCTGTCCTATTTATTCTGTGAGCATCAGTTTCCCCGCAAGCCCAAGACCAGGTCTGTGAGCCTCCAGCACTGACTTGGTTTCCTGTCTTTCCTTCCAGCACAGCTACCGTGAGGTGGGCATCTTGCTGCTGTACCTGGCCGTGGGTGTGTCAGTGTTCTCTGGCGTGGCCTACACGGCCGAGAAGGAGGAGGACGTGGGCTTTGACACCATCCCCGCCTGCTGGTGGTGGGGCACAGTGAGCATGACCACCGTGGGTTACGGGGACGTGGTGCCGGTGACAGTGGCTGGCAAGCTGGCAGCCTCGGGCTGCATCCTGGGGGGCATCCTGGTGGTGGCGCTCCCCATCACTATCATCTTCAACAAGTTCTCCCACTTCTACCGGCGACAGAAGGCCCTGGAGGCCGCCGTGCGCAACAGCAACCACCAGCAGTTTGAGGACTTGCTCAGCAGCGTTGATGGCATGTCAGAGGCATCTCTGGAGACTTCCCGCGGGACCTCCCAGGAGGGAAGGTCTGCAGATCTGGAGACGCAGGCCCCCGGTCGGCCTCCAAACCCTCAGGTTTATTAAAACCTGCACCCCTGAAACAGCAGACGCCTTCCCTGCTTACATTTTTCTTGGCAGCATAACCTCTGCAGATCATGCCCCCTGGCCTGAGAAATAAGACCCAGAGGCTGAGCCCCTTCCTCCAAAGACTCAGGGCAGGAGTGTGTTACCCAGATTCTGCGAGCCTGGAGAGCAACAGGGGACTTTATAAACGAGCCTCTGGGCCTCCTAGAAGCAGGCATGAGCCAGAGGAGAAAGTTGAAAGGGTGCTGACGGCTCCTGGCTCCCTCCTCTCTGTTGGCCTCGCCACCTTCGCTGTCGGCCACTGCTGCAGGTGGAGAATGATCCCCATTGCACAGGTGAGGAAGCCAAGGCTTGGAGAGGCGCGCTGTCTTGCCCACTTATCACACTGCTAGAAGTGGGGGCCAGGTGAAGTCCACGCTTGTTGGTCAGCCAAGACCATGCTTCCTTCCACTCCATCTTTCTTCTGTCTTCGCGAAGTTGGTCTTAGGAGGTTCGTGAATCCCCAGAGTTGATCCGTAGGATTAGAACGCGTTCTTCTCCAGGAGCACCAACAGGAGTTCTCAAAGATGAGGTCTGGGAGAGAGGAGGAGGGCGCTGCTCCTGCTGATGCACACGATCTGCTAAGCAACAGCCTGCTGCGGCCTCATTCTGGGACTAACTGGAGATACGGGCAATCTGCAGGGGCCTGAGGTCTCGAACCAGCTGTGCCAGGACCTGCAAGTTTGAGGACTTGCTGAGCAGTGTGGGTGGAGTGCCGGGGGCATCTCTGTGAAGTGGGCACATTCCTGCCCCTTCTCCAGATTTCAGCCCATCTGTCAAATGGTCACAATCTGTGCCCGAGGAAGCTGGAAGTTACTGATTTAAAGCCTGGGATCTGAAGTGTTGGTGGCAAGGGGCTACCATGCATGGACCTCTGCCCCCCAGACTCCCAATTTGACCACAGCAGCACCCTTCTGCCCACCGTGCAAGACCTCCAGCCCTCCTGCGTTACCATCCAGGCAAATGCTTGTGATGCCTGTCTTTTGGGCCAGCTCCAGTTCCTTGTCCTCATCTGTGGTGGAGCCAGAGCTCTCACCTGCCGAATCCTCTCTCCACCTGCTGGGCAGCTTGGAAGGGAGGGTCCCCTTCTGTTCACGGGAACAGCCATCACCACAATGGGGTCGCCTGACTATGACTCAGTCTGTCCCATCACACTGAGCTGCGAGGTGGAGGAAGCCCTTGGGCTGGCCCCAGGTAAATGTTGAATGGGTCAGCCCATTTGTACCACCTACTGTGTGCCAGTCGCCAGGAGCACGAGGAAATAGCCAAAGAGAGATCTGGCCCTGGCAGCAAGACTGAAAGGGGCCGCCTCTGGGTTCTGGCTGTTCTTCTCACATTTGGATGCTCAGACAATGAGAACCTTGCAGGTTCTTTCTTCACTCATTCAACAAATACCAGACACAAGCCGGGCCTCACACATGGCCTGCACACAGGCTGTGCTTCGCTGAGTGGTATTTTTAGGATATATTTTTAATGGCAATGCCTGTGGGAGAGGCATGCACAGCTCCCCGTAGCATCCCCCGCCCCCGCCCCAGGCACCTCACACAGACCCCACTGCGTCAGGCCAGACTGACTTTACCCACCTGGCCTCTGGTCTATTGATGGCTTTCTTGGTTCACCAGACATGAAGGCAAAAGAACAGACCCCTTTCCTCACGAGCTTACAGACTAGAGGGGGTACGGATTTTAATCCAGTCATCACATACACATGTAAGAGTGAGCTCTGCTAAGTGCAGGGAGCTGTAAGCATGCGTCAAGTCGCAGGCGCCACTCATCAAGACAGTCGGAGAAGACTCCCGAACAGGTGACAGGTTAACCCCCATCGTCTGGATAAAGAGCTGGTTAGGCTGTGGAGTGCTAGGAGGCGTCTTCCGAGCAGAGGAAAGGCCTGGTGTCATCCCCAGAGCCTGGTGCATAGTCAGTCCCACGCGTGGATGGATTCCGAGTCTCTAGATAGAAGCAGACCCTGGAGCCACACGAAGGGTGCCCGTGAGCCCTCACACCCTCACCTCTTAACAGGCACAAAGTCGGGGAGTGCCAGGTGCACTATGCAGTGGCCCTGCTGAACAACCAGAGGAGCCAGTTACTTCTAGACTTTCTGACCCCACAGACAACTCCCTGAGCTGGGACGGGAGATGCTCGGGTGAAGCGTCAGGCTGGCATCCAGCAGGAGGTTGCACAGCGATGAACAGCGGTGGCGACTAAGGCACTTTGGTCACAAGCAACAGAAACTGACTACCTGAGAAAAATGTGAGCTTATTGGAAGGTGTAATAGTTTTCCATGGCCGCCATAATGAACTACTACGAATTGGATCGCTTAAAACAATATATTCTCTCACAGTCGGGAGACCAGGAAAAAAATATCAAGGTGTCCTCAGGCCGCCCTCCCTCTGGGTGTTCCAGAGGAGAGTCCTCTCCTGGCTCCTGGTGGCATCTGCGTTCCTCAGGCTCCCCCGCCCTGTGGCCGCCTCACGCTGTCCTGCATCTCTGCCTGTCATCACGTGGCCGCCTGCTCTGTGTGTGCTGAGCCTCCCGCTGCCTCCCTCATAAAAATACTCTTGCTGGCATTCAGGGCCCTCCTGGATCATCGAGAATGATCGCAAGACCCTTAATTTAATCACATTGGCAAAAAGACCTGTTCTCCAAGTGAGGTACCATTTGAAACTTCCAGAGATTATGATGTGGACATATCATTGGGAAAATCACCCTATCAAGGGAAAAGCTGACTAACCTGGCCGCGGGAAAGGCAGGCATTGGAGGAGTTCTGGGGTCCTCAGTAGCAGAACCGTGAACTCCTGTTTGGGACACGGCCTCCGGAGCTTGCCCTTCCCTGTCTCTGCACACGGTTCCAGTCCCTGCAAGAAGCTGACTTGCCTTGTCTGGATCACGTCTCCCTCGGCGGACGGAGGGCTAGGTACCTGGATTCACCTCTGTGACAGACCACATGGATTGGAGGAAAGGTAGTTCCCCAGAGAAAAGGCTCTGTGATGTCACCACGACAGAGGGGAGGGATATTAATACGCAAAAATAGCGGGTGTCCCCGGTGTTCCAGTGCCTGGCGGCTTACCACGCCACACTCACACCTCCTTCCCACGCACAGGGTTTCATAAATGTTTCTAACATAAGGAAACTATCTTGTATATAACCAAAAATACACTTCAAGCTCTGCAGGCCCTATTCATGTGATTTAATCACTGTAGTGAATCAGCACGATGTCTTGTGGAATGGGATGATCTGGAATTCAAGAGCTTTTTCAGCTGCAGATGAAGAACTGAGGGATCCTTGAGCTGAAAAGTAAAGGGTGAAACTGTCATCCCTTCCTGGCACTAGCAGAATAGCTGCAGGGCGTGTAATAAGGAGCATGTATCTAACACAGCAGCTAAGACTGGAATAGCCTCCTAATTAAAATAATCCATTCTCGTCTTCCAAATCCCACCTGATTGTGCACCAGCCAAACAAGGGAAATTAATGGTGTTTTAATAGAAGTCATCGCCCTGCGGGGTCTTTGGCAGACACTAGCCTCTGCGGCCTCCTGCAGGTGTGGCCCTGCTGCTGTGTTCTACTTCTAGGCAGTGGCTCAATTGGCTTCTGTTGGTCTTTTAGAGCCTCCATGGGTCAGGCAACCAATGTGGGGAGCTTTTCCAACTTTGAGTCAGAAACTGGAGGTACAGGATAACTTTGGGACCCCACTGGGCCTCCAGCAACATGGACAAAGAGTGAAAACACTATCTTTCACATCGTTGGCGACGGGCGGTGGTCCTCCTAGACCCAAGAGATAGCATTAACTCAAAGTCTTCAGCCACAGTGCTCTGAAAGGCTTGGGTAGTGCCCTTCCTTCAGCGCCCAGTTATGCTGGTAACTAAGTGGTCACAGGACCTTTTGGAAAAGGCAAGAGAATGTGTTTCTGACACTCACCTAGTAGCACAGCAGAGGCCGTCCTCAAGGACAAGTAGTGTGTCCTTCACTCCGAAGACTTCAGATCAATAAACAGACGCCAGCTGAGGGGCGGGGGACGTGCTGGAACTGACGGCAGCTCAATTCAGGGCTGTTTTTGCCAGGGCTAGCTGGCATCTTGATTTTGATTTTGCTCTGATTTGTTTCTTGTGTGTAATTGCTTATACAAGTTTAAGTAAGACGTCAGTGGGCTACCTTTGATTTAACCTTTTAGTGCCCTCCAGCATGAGCTCTTGCCTCATGCCACTTGACTTCTGAGAGCTAAATGCCAACACCTGGTCTCCCACACCTCTGCATTCTTCCTTCAACGCCCACCCCTACCCCTGAGATCAGGAAACCCATTTCAAGTTGTGACCCTTCCACCCAGTGCCCTGACCCAGACTTTCCTCTAAGCAAGGATAAACATTCTGGGTTCACGGAGGGCCATCAAAGTATTTGTGGGAAGCACAACATAGATCTGATCCAGCATCCCTGTCTTCCAAAATATTTGAATTCCTTCTTTACATGATGCCAAGGCATTTATGGCCTTTAAATTCCATTTCATGTAGGCCAGTGTGTTTGGTCCAAGTTTGCATTAGCCAACCCATCAATGGTTAGAACGCAGCCAGGCACTGGCGCTGGCACAGAGAACACAGATGCCCTGTACGTGCATCTTTATCAAGATCAGCCTGGCCCAAAATTACATTTCCCCTTCCTTCGTCATGTACCACAAAAATTCACTCCCATAAATATTCCCCAAATTCTGGTGGTATCAATTAACAAATTTCTGCAATTCTGTATGGGTCCAAGAGTCTTTCCTACTCAGAGTCTATTTTTCACCCTCTAGGCCAAAACTGATCCTCCACCTTCCAGCTCAGCTGCCTTGGGGGTGGAGTAAGCAGAAACTTGTGAGCTTTCTCCAATAAGGAAGGGCGGGGGCTGCTTCCACCCAGGGTGTTAGTTTGCCTTGGATTTCTCCCACATCCTCTCATATGGCCATTCCACTTGTCATAATCCCTTGCCTATCAATGCCTAACTTCATAAAAGTGCAGGAGGGCTGTGAACTCGGCAAACTGCATGAGCCAATTTTGGTTTGGTTTTGGAGATCTCAGTCCCGCTGCCAATCACAAGAGATCCTTTCACTGTGGTCACAGAAATACTTTATATTTCATTCTGTGTCTCCTCCCCAGTTACAGATTAAAAAATGGAAACCCAGAAAGGCCCAGGATTATACCTGTGTTCCTTGGAGTAGAGGAGTTTGTCAGCTCAATTAAGAACCAGCAAGGGGTTCATATTGGGATAGGGAGGTGAAAGGGCGTCTTCCCCAGGCCCACAGCCTCCAATCAGGAAGACCTGGAGTCTTTCCTTTGCTCTGCTATAAAACTTTCCCACTCCTATGCCTGCTTTTGAGTCTCTGCCAAAATGCAAGTGACTGCGGCAACTCCTTGCTCAGAATAAAGTCTTTTGCTTTTCTCTTCTGGTTGGTCTGTACTTATTTCCATAGTAGCTGTAGATCATTCTCATTGTTGTTTGGTATTCCGCTGCATGAATCTACATACTTGATCTACCCATTCCATTGTCACCGGTCATCTGGATGGATTACAGTTTGGCAAAATTATGACTAATGCTGCTATGAATATTCTTGTTCATGTTTTTTGGTAAAAATATGTAGACATTTCTGCTAAATACCTAGGATTTAGCATTCCGGTTGCTCCACTTCTTTGTTAGCATTTAGGATTTTCTATTGCTTTCATTTCAGCTGTTATATTGGGTGTGTAGTGGTAAAGCTTCAAGGAAAACAAACTGCAAGTATCTCTCCATTTCTGCACCATTCATTCTTGGGAAACTGATAGTTCTAAGTGCTAGAAACATTTTGTGTGTAGATGACCTGGAATTGGGTGTTTATAACACAAGTTTCTCACCAACATAGAGTGGGACAGGAATGTTGAGCAGGATACAGGACTTCCCAGCATGCATTGCAGGGCATCTTGCATCCCTGCTGCTGCCCATTAAACGCTGGTAGGGACCTACACTCCTTGCCACAACAAAACACTGGTGCATTTCCAGAATACTTCCTCATGGGCAGCACTACACGCTCTGAGAATTGCCTGTCTACAGAAAGGTAGAGTGCTGGATGCCTCATAGTCTGAAAGAAAAACAAATAATCCATTTCAAAGGCTCTGCATATATAGGCTCTGCAGCATGTCACATTTAGTAAGATTTAGTAAAGATGAATTTACATCCATCCTTTTGAGCTAGGTTCTCACTCTGACCTATAGGGACAGCTGCTGTCAACCCAGGCAACAGGAAGGATTTACTGGATATTTCAGGGAGGTGAGTCAGGCAACAGGAACACCTATCACCCTCACTCTCAGAAAAGCTAGCAGAAGAGCATGACAGGTGGACAGGAGGTGGTACTATTACATTAAATGTGATGGAAAATTGGACTCAACACACCTACATCCATTTTTCACTGGAATTCTGCTCCCTGTCTGCTGTAGCATAAACTTTTAAGATGAAGTACCTAGGGCCAGGCTGAAGAATTATTTCTGCTGCTCCCCTGGCAATGCTGGGCCAACCAGGCCTGGCTTCCTGCAAAAGGACTGCAAGGTGATCCTGCATCCAGACTCTTCCTACCAAGCCCTGGTGTATGTAGGCTGGTCCTCCCGGCAGAAGGCCTCTCTCCCTCCTTCCTCCCTTTCTCTGCCTAGCCATCTCTTCCTTATTTTTCAAATTCAGGATCTTTTACCTCCTCCAGGAACTCTTCCTTAGAATCCCAGCAGATTGATTTCTGTGACTCTCTGATCTGGTGTCCATAGGTCATGCACTTCCTTCCACCATAGCTTAGTAAGTCTTCACTTAAAGTTGTCATCAACAGGTTCTTACAAACTGTCACTTCAATTGAAATGATGTAGAATTAATCAGGGTCCCTGTGTTTGTTCAACATCTGCCAGGAATGCATTATTCTCATTGATGTTCTAATAAAACAATGTTGAACCTGCGCATTTCCAACAGCCTGGGTCTTGTTTACAACCCTAGCCACTGGTCAGCACTTGTCACAAAGGGAGTTGTCCAACAAAAGTTTACTCCTCCTACAATCCCCGCCAGCTTTGGATTCCAGAATGAGCACACACAGGGCCAATGTCATGAAGGTTCACAACACATTACCAGGCCACATATGGAGTATCTCAATTTTTACAAAGAGGCTAGTCTATGACCCAAAGGACAGTTTATTTAAAACAAAGTGGCATGGTAGGAAGAAAGGAGAATGACAATTTTAACATAAAAGCACACATGAGGCATTCAAAAATTTTTAAAGGTGGGGAGGGCAATGGAGGAAGCTCTGTTTCATACATATACAAACTAATGACCTCAACTGATTATTTACATCCAAAGTTTATAAAATAGCATTTCAAGTCAGCACATAAGCCAGTATTACCAATTTTGTTACAAAAATTTAAAGCTACAAACTTCACATTTTCAAGCTGTACAGCTGCAACAGCATTTAAGCTTTTTTCTCCCAAGCTGGTCTGAGTGCAAGCTGGTGGAAGAGATTTTTTTTCTCCAAACACAAATAAGAACATGGATTCCAAAGACAATGAATATCATCCTGATAGAAGCAGAAACACAGTGCTTAAGAAAGTATGGGTGGAAGGGTGGGAACTGGGCAGGAACAATTTCCCAGTAAATGAGGAGCTGCGATCTTTAGAGGCAACATGGTGTGCTAGAAAGGGCACTGGAATGATAATCAGAAGACCTGGATTTGAACCGTTCTCTGCCATATTCTAGCTACGTGACCTTGAGCAACAGACCTACTTTCTCTGAGCCTGTTTTTTCCTTCTCTGTAAAATGAGGACCATAATTACTGTCCCTCTCAGATCTATTGAGTTTTAATAGAGATAAGCTGCTCAGATAATTTCTTCCCAAGTGAGTTTGGTACCTTGTATCTTGCAAGGAATTTCTCCATTTCATTTAAGTTGCTGAATTTATTAGCATAAGGTTGTTCATAATATTGTGACTAGCCTTTTAATATCTGTAGGGCCTATAATGATGTCACCTTTCTTGTTCCTAATGTTGGAAAGAACTATTGAATTTTAAATGGCATAATATTTCTGGCATCTGTAGGTGCCAAGTAAATGTTTCCTAGATCAGAATCTAGAGTCTCAAGGAGGCAAGGCTATTGTTCTTAAGTTGCTTCAGAGTATTGTTTTGCTCTATCAATCAGTCAATCATGTATCCAGCCAGTCAGTCAAACATCCATCCATATATCCAACTGGTTGTTGACAGAAGGGATGAAAGAAAATAGAAATTTGGTTCAAAATTACTGATGAGGAAGCAATTAAGATATTCCTAGAAAATCTGACCAAGTGTCCTCAGGTTGTATACCTCTTAAAGATACAATTAGGTGTGGGTCTCCATTGTTTCTTAGGAGAGAACAAGCAAGAGGCCTTGCGAGCTCCCTGGAAGCGTGAGTCATGAATGCTCAAGCACTGACTGAAGCTCGCCGGACTACCGTGGCCTGAGGAGTCGAGCACTAGAAAACAGAAACCTTGTCATCTGATCTGATCCACAAGAAACTGAGCCCTGGCCAGAGGACTGTGGCCAGCAAGCATAGCAAGCAGTATCCTGTGGTGGACCCATGTGTTGGGTGCACACACGCTTGAAACAAAAGAAACCCCAGCTCAAGATTCATGACCCAGGAATATTTATGGAGAAGAACTAGACCATCTTTTATGTAGGAAGGGGGGAAATGGGAAATGGGCATTCCCCTTTGGCCAAGTGAAAAGTCCTTTTTAAAAAAGAGACTGAGGCGGGACTGTTCATTGGCACAGCAGATGGCATGGGGGAATGCCTGCTCAATGCTTTGGTTTTTAAAATTCACTTGGCTGTCGGTCTTGACTACAAAGTCAGCTGTTACCCAGTCTAAAAATGCCAGTTAATTTAGTCTGTGTAAGAAAAGGTGGCCACTTCATTTGAAAAAGACCTGTGACTTTCCTTTTCCCTGCAGATAATGGCCCCATATGGAGATGCTGTGAATTCTGATCCCACCACTTCCTAGCTGTGTCGTCTTGGCAAAGAACCTTCTTCCTCTCTGAACCTGCTTCTTCATCTATGAAATGGAGATAAAGTAACTACCAGGGTTTCTGTGGGGTTGGAGCTGATGTATATAAAGAGTCTACCTCACTCAGGGCCTGGCATACAAGTGGATGACGGATGCTAGCTGCCATTTATTCTTCTACCAGGATTCTCAAATTGACTTCTATCCTCTGAATCTGCCACACAGCTGCTCCACTGGTCAAGCCCTGCAGACTAACAAATACCTCTTATATTTTTTAAACCTGCTTTAATTGTAAAGAACAGAATCAGGCCACAGATGAGGAATATTCCCTGCCTTCCCACTGATTCCAGGTTAGGGCAACAAAAGCAATTATGGAGTCAGATTATAGGATCCTGAGATGTAACCCAGTCACGGGTCCTCTATCTGAGGGGAAGAGCTATTAGAAAATGAAGTTACCTGCCCTTCCTGTCTCCCCCTTGCTGTGTGACTAGATGACGTGCGGCTTTGAACCAACCCTGCACAGGGATGGCCCAGCGCTGCCTTCTGCAAAGCCTCTGACCTGTTTTAGGCCCTAAATCTACCCAGGGGACACTGCAGAGCTCACGGAATGACTGACCTGGAGCCATCTGGCTCCCCTTATGAATTTTTTCATAACCTGTCATCCACCAAAGAGACAAAACAAGAACAAGTTTCCATTAGGAAGGTTCCCTGGAACAACTTAACAAACACCCTCTTAAGTGTGACTCAAAGTTTCTTCCCTCAAGGAAGAGGCTGGTTCAGTGAAGGGGTGAGGCGCCGAGGCCTCGGCCCGGCTCTTCCTTTGATTGCTGTGATTTTGGTCACGGCAGCTGCCTCTCTAAGCCTTAGTGGACCAGATGAGGACTGTGGTCCCTTCCAGCCCTGGCATTCTACATGTCTGGGTTCAGTCTCCCGGAGAACAAACCTCAGTCTGATATTCATGTATCCTTTCCAGAGCCCTTGGCAGTAAAATAAAAAAGCAAAGTCACATACTTGAATGCGGATCACTGAAGTAATGCCCTCTACCCCGTCTGTGAGGAATGTGGAACAAAACACCACAGGTGTGATCTTCACATGAACAACGAGAACTTAAAAAGACACTTTCCCTTTTGCGGACCGAACACAGGCCCCGTGTCTGCTGAGAGCTCCCGGCGGGCCTGTCCCCACTGGTGCACGTCTCCTCCTAAGGCACTGGGCAGTATCTGTGCTGTGACTTCAGGCAACGGGGAGAGTGGAGATGGACGAAAGGCCCTGGAAACCATCACAAAGGCCAGTTTGCACAGGGGGTACCAGGCGTCTCCTGGGACTCAGAGGTAAACACAAACTCTCAAGGCTTTCCTTGGACGTCACCAGCAGCTCCGAAGCCGGGATGACCCACGTGAGGCTGATACCACAGTGCCACAGCGGGCCCAAACCTCATTTTTAAATGCAGTCCAGCAAAAGGGTGAGATTGGCTCTGGGGAGTCGTGACCCCGCCAGCCTCCCGGTGTCCAGCGCTCGTGTCCCACAGTACCATGATCACGCCGAAAAGAGGCAAACTGTTTAAAACTGTACCTGTACAGAGATGCCACCACGCTGAGTGGGGAATCCGGTTATAATTTATATATATATATGCATATTTATATATTTTTAAAAAATCTTTCAGAAAGAACAGTTGAAAGCTATTGGGAGAATTAAAACAAAAGACAATGTAAAACTCCCCGAGCTATCACTCAACTAGGAGTCTCAGTTCCTGGGGTTTAAAACTCTTAATTTAAAAGCGCCAATATCAATCCTTTGAAAAAAATACACCTGACTGGCTCAGGCACACATCCGGGGGCACGCTGGCTGTCCAGGCCAGGGTCGGCGTTCCTGAGCTCAAGAAGGTGCTGTGGACTAGAGATGGAGCAGGGGTGCAGGCTGACGACAGGACATGACCATCCGGAGTCCACGGAGGCCTGGGGCGCCCAGCCCCCAGGCTGGCCCCACTTAGAAGTTCTGCTGCCGCCGCTTCTTAGCCTCAATGGCATCCAGGATTGGCTGCCGCTTCGACTGGTACTTCTGCCGGATCTCTTCAATCTCCTGCTCCATCATGGGGTCGAGGGCCGAGAGCCTCTTCTTAAGGTCCTCCACTGTCCAGGTCTTCAGCTAGAAGAGAAGCAGAAAGTACAGTCAGGGCAGAGCCTGGGTCAGCCGTAGTGGAGGGAAGGAAAAGCAGCCGCAGAACAGTCGGGGGTGGCGCTGGCTGGAAAGTGATCATTCATTCAAGTGAGTAACAGGGCGCCCAGCTTTTTTGAGACACTGTCTCCCTGAAAGAGTTTTAAGTGCTAATCTCTTCCATTTACCACCAGGAAATTAACAACTACTACTTCCATCTCCCCCATCTTTAATTACATACAGCACAGTTAGTGCATTGAAATAACAGTAACCTGGTGTATGCAAAGCAATGACTGCCTCCAAGTTCTTATCTGACATCCAAGATGGGCATCTGGGCGGTGATACCACACCAGGGAGGGTGGCGCTGACTGAGGAGCAGCGGCTCTCCCCCAGCCTGCCTTCTCACACCCCTGTGACCCACTGTGCCCCTAATTTGCACTGCACGGACATTTGCTGGGGTGACCCTGGGCCAGAGACCACTCCCTCTAAGCATCGGATGTGCATCGTCTATGACAACGTTAAGTGCCTGGTGAGCTCACAGGGGCAGTGCTGTCTCCAGCCTCTCCAGACCTGGCTGGCAGGGGTCAAGATGAATGCCTGCATTCTTCACAGCAGGTGGTGAGCTCACCAGCAGTTTAATAGATACAGTGTTTCCAGAACTCAAAGGCTCCCTCAAGTCTTAAAGGAGATTTATGGAAGCATCATTGCCCACAGCCCCTTCCTGAGACCTCAACAGGGAAGTGGTAAGGGAGGTGGGTGAAGGAGCCCCTTTCTGCCCACTTTTCCTTTAGAGGGTGGGTGTGAACAAGGGTGAAGTGCTACAGTGGCCTCCCTAGAAATGGTTTAGTGACCTGTCATCGCAGGAATTTTCCTTGGCCCCTCTAGGGAGGCTGGCTGGGAAGCGAGAAAAGCCTCGCAGTTAAGAGATGAAAGGCCCTTTGTAATGTGAGGCTGGAAGGCTTGAGTGTAGAGAAATGCTGGAAAGCTGGGCTGAAAAAAAACACATCTTTCTTCCTGCCTGTGATTTTCTACCATCTTGGAGGTTGGTGTTCTTGGTCCAGGGACACCCCAAAGAATGATGTTTGCTTAGTCTTTAGCTTTTTCAATCTCTTCTCCAAAGAGAGGACACCCCAAACCTAACACTGAGCATTATTGGTCGTTAAGGGCTTAATCTTGAGGCCCAGAGACCCTAAGACCTGGCTGGCTGTGTCACAGTAGGACGTGTTAACTGCACAGACAGAACCCAGCTCCTGCACCTGTGGGCTGTGATGAGGACAGAGGGTTAATGAGTGGGATGTTCTCAGGCCAGCCCTTCCTCTTTAGCAGATAGTAAGCCTCCACCAGTGGCAATTATCAGCTTTGTGATTAATAACTGTATTACTGCTGCTATTATTCTAAATATTACTGTTATTACCAATATTATTGGAAAGTCTGATTACTCTCCCATAAGCAAGCCCTTCCTGTAACCTCTGATCCAGGCCAGAATCAAAAATGTGAGAAAGAAAATATTCTGCTCCACTGCAGGACAGCAATGCCTAAGGGCCAGCACCTTCACACAAAGCCTGTCGTCTTATTTATAGTCAAACAAAATATTTTTCATCCAATCATTTACCAAAGAGTCACTGAAGTCCTACTATGCGCCGGGCACTGTCCCAGGAAACACCAGCAGCAAACAACAAAACGGATTATCCTTTTTTTTTTTTTTTTTTTTTTTTTTTGGTGGTGGGACCCTCGAGCAGCTGTGCCATCAGGGGAGGCCCCAAAATGGATTATCCTAATGAGCACACGCAGGGCAGGGACAAATAACAACACAGCAAATCAGGAAATGTCTCTTATGTTACAGGGTTAGATGGGCTACAGAAAACGACAAGAAGAAAACACAGTGAAGAAAGGGGAGTTGGGGATTGGGAGGGGAGCCTTGCTTCTTCTCCGTCCTCTGGGATGAAGAGGCAACTGCAAGAGGAGAAAAATGAAAGTGAGTGGAACTGCCCTGGCTCTCCAGTTTGGTCTGAATTTCAGGCAAGCCCCTTCGCCATCCTAGGCCTCAGTTTCCCCATTTGTAAGAGAGGGCTCAAATGATCTTAGATGATCTGAGGGGTCTTTTTAGTTGCCATGCTTCTCAGCGTACCATCTGCGTGTGGGTCACCCTCATCAGAATCTCCTGTCCCAAGTACAGATCCCTGTGCTCTGACCTAAAGCTACTTAATCGGACTGAAGAACAGCAGGACCTTGAGAATGTCATCTGGGTTTTCCTTCCAGCACCCTGAGCTGCTGGAATAGGCTTAGGTCACCCGAGACCCTCAACTGGAATGAGCGCGTTGGAAAATGAATGAAAGAATACAAGTTATTATTTAATATTAGATATGTTCTGGGTCTTTATTTAGAGGTTTGGTGAAGTTTTTGTGACTAGAAATATGCTGTAGGAATCTTAACTTATTTATAATCACTCAGCCTCTCATGAAACTGGGTTTGTTGTACCTTGTTTTGCTTAAAGCAGCAATTTCCATGAACCAAAGTGAGACCAAAATGAGAACTTAATGAAATTCTTTATCAGGGCCTCCCTCGTGGCGCCAGGGGTTAAGTCTCAGCACTATGAAGCTACCGACAGCCACTGCAGCTCGAGTTCCATCTCCTGCCAGGGAGCTGACCCACATGGCGCAGCAGACCTCTCCTGTCTCGCCCGCCGCTCCCCTCAGCAGTGGATTTCAATCAATCTGCCTGTTCTGTTCCCCACGCTGTCTCTAGTGAGTCCTCTCACCCCCCACACCTCTGGCCTACGCCCCAGTTCTTGTATACATAAATAAAATAAATCTTAAAAAAAAATTTACTTCACCAGACGTAATCAGGAGGTGAGACACAGGACTCTGCAATTTAAAGCAATTATTTAGGTCTTTCTTCCAAAGCCTCAAGTTTTGAGAAGCATGCTTCTAAGTCTTCCTTCTTTTCCTTTTGCAAAATTCTATTAAAAAAATTGCTGCCTGTCATCTCTCTCTAGGTTTCCAACTTCTATGCACCTCTTTTGCCCTTGACGCTAATCTGGGGGTTTACCTGCAAGCAACCTTGCTTTATTTATCTCAGCCACCTTCAGACTCATTTACTTCCCCAAAGGCCTTTGGGGCTTAAGCTACCCCTGACCTATTAGAACACAATCAGCCAGTCACTGCTAAGGACTTGGTCACACCATCCAGATATGGGTATTTCTGAAAAGTGAGCTTAGAGAATAGTTTTATGGTACCGAGCACAGCTTTTTGCCTTCCTGGTTTTTAGTGGCATAAATTTTAAATGGAAATCACACCATAAAGCAGCTGTGGTGCTACAGCCAGGCCAGGGCCTGCACCCAGAGGAGCACATTCTCAAGGCGCCCGGGTACGTCACAGACCCTGATTTTACCAACTAGGGAGATCACCGGGTAGTATCTCCTCTACCCTAGGATTTTAACATCTTCCCTGTACCGTGATTCTCACATTTCAATCTCTAGGCCAGGGTTCTCCTCTGCTCTCCAGACTCACACATCAGAGCAGATCCTGCTGGACATCCCAGTCGCTGGTGAGCTCATGCAAGTCCTCCCCCGCCCTCATCCCAAACCTCCTCTTACTTTCCCGTCTTCCCCATCTCAGGAATGGTACCACCATCCCCCCAGATACGCGGTCATCCCCAATTCTTCCCTTTCCCTCACTATTCCCCTGCCCACAATCCTTCAAGCTAATCTCTGAAATACTGAGACAACGCAAATCCAACCACTTTTTTCCATACCAACCTCCAATCCCTCAATTCAGACTACCATCATCTCATAGCAACAAACATAATGAAAATTATAGAAATGAATTGGGTCACATCACCCTCATATTTCTATTGCACTTAGAAGAAAATCCATGTCGCTGGGAGCTTCCAAGGCTCGACATTCTCTAGCCCCACTGTCCCCCTCCAACCTGAAATCCTACCACTCTCCCCTTCGCTCGGGACCCTACAGCCACACTTAACTTCAGATTCCTAAGCAGGCCACACTTTTCCCAACCTCAAGGGCCTACACAGTAATCCTTCTGCCTGGATGGCTCTGCTCCAATTCTTCCTTCTCCTTGGGCCTTAGTTTGGATGTCAGCCCCTCAGAGAGCAGAGCAAGCCTCCTCCGCCCAGCATATCTGAAGCAGCAGCCGCTTCCCCTTATTACCTCAGTACCGAGCTGCCTTCCTCCGAAACGATCAGGGTACATTGTTCTTAGTCTCCTCTACACGCAGTCTCTCTTTTAGGATGAAAGTTCTGAAGGCCATGCCTTTGTCTGTTCACTGTGCTAAGCGTAATATTGTTGAAGAAATGAGTAAAATGCCCTCCAATTCCAGTCCAATGACATGGAAGCCACTGGAATCGAGGAAGCAAGGTGCCCTGAGCAGCACTGCCTGCTACAGGCTCTGGGTGAGGCCCGGGGGTACTCTGTGAAATAAGGAGTTCGCTGTTCCCTCAAGAAGCTTACAAGCTGAAAGGTGATTTCTCTCCACATTCTTTTAAAACAGAAGTACGTCTCTGCTCATTTGGTTAAAACGTGTGTTTGGGGCCTCCCCGGTGGCGCAGCGGTTGAGCGCTGGGTTGCGATGCTGCCCGCAGCCTCTGCGGCGCCGGTTCGATCCCGGCTGCTCCCTGGCCACCGGAGGAGGGTCCCACATGGCGCGCAGACCTCTCCTGCCGCCCGCTGTTCCCCTCAGCAGTGTACTTCGGTCCTTCTGCCTGCTCTGCTCCCCGCTCTGGCTCTGGTGAATTCTCTCACCCTCCCGCGCTTCTGACTGTACCCAGTGCTTGTATAAATAAATACATAAATCTTTAAAAACAAAAACAAAAAAAAAGTGTGTTTGTACTGACTGATAAGCAGCAGTCTTGGATTTGTTATCCCTAAAGGGCATGACCATTTCAACTTTTTATTCAGACAAAAAAGATTTATTCAGATCATCAGAAGAATGAGAAGTGATCCTTCTGGACCAGACAAAATTGCTGGTCAGCCCAGAGCCCTGGGCTCATCACTGAAGGTGGGTTGTGCTGAGAATGGCCCAAGAGAACGGGGGTTCTGGTGCTCTTTCTGTGAGAGGTCACAGAAGAAAAGGGAAACTAAAAGAAGCCCCTTAATCATGGTTATTTCGAATTCCGTGACCTGCTGGATGGTAATCAGCACATCAGTCCTGGGTGAGTGGAAAGGAGACGACTCGAGTCCGACGCAGGACACCGAGGTCCCACGGCTGTGCTCACACCGCTGTGTAATAAGCACCCCGACTTCACGCACCAGTCCTACCCTGTCTGAAGAGGTCTGATGGGCACGGGTGGGTGGCTGAGCGCAAGTAAAGACAACAACACATGTGCGGATGACACTTCTTCAAAGCCGGGGTCCTTGGAAAAGTGTCGTGTCCTAAAATAGTTGGATTTTAAGTGCAAAGGTGAGCCTCACCCGGCCTCAGCAGGAAGTGGTGCTGTTTACTCCTGGATGCTACACGTGGGGTGGAAGAAGTATGACTGTTACCTGAACGTGTGCCACGAGCTTTGCACTCAACTAATAAGCATCTTGACCTGCACCGTAGGCAGGTGCTCTCACTGTCTGCCTTCCTCAGAGGAGCTCAATGGGGATTAGGGTGGGCAAGCAACCTGCCCAAAGTGAAACAGCAAGAAAATGGAGGCTCATCACCGCCCGCAGGATTTCTGGAAAGTGCATGTGTGAGTAAAAAACATGAAAAGACTAGAGGAATGATGCACCCACGTCAGGCAGCCTCACATTACACAACGCCACCAGGGGGTGGTGATGGGTGCCTCAGCGGCTTACTTCACCTCTCTGGGTTCGGTTTCCTTGTCTGTGAAACAGGGGACACTGCCAGCCTCACTGCCTTTCCCTGCAAATCTTCCTGATGCTTCTCCGATAAAGAAGAAAAGCTGCAAAACTATTGTCCTTTAACAATGACTTCAACCCCATTTTGCGATTACAATGATCTCAAATCAATATGTGAAATTATCAGAATTATAACTTAAGACACGTGGGATTTTCACACTGGAAGCGGAGATCAATGAGGTAGGTACGTCCAGAAAACACACCAATCGGAGGCACTACGAGGCACCCCATGAGTGTTAACGGTGCTAGAAGCTGCCTGAACTGAGTCCCATGTGCCAGACACCGGCTCAGCACTTTATCTGCACTAGCCCATGAAAAGTATGGCCCACGGACCCCTCAGAGTGTGAGAATGGTCCATGTACCCATGAGAATGGTCCATGAAGTAAGCAGTGTTTCCCCACGGTACAGAGGTGAGACCAAGGCCAAGAGGGATACAGGAATTTGTCCAAAGCCCCAGGTCCAGACCTGTGAGCAGCTAAGAAAGGATGTGGCCCCTGTCTCACTACAAAGCTGGTGCCAACTGTGTCAAGCCTGAGAAGCTGAGAGAAGGGATGCCTGTGCTGAGGACCTCTGCGGGCCTTACCTTTGTATACATTTATGGGGCAAAGGAGGGGCGCTCACACCATTCAAGCAAAAGCCTGAATTTCAGAATTTTTAAAAATGAAATGCAAATCTTGTCATTTCAGGAAATGATCACTTAAGATACAGGGAACTAATGCAATTAGGTTAAGTAAGCAAAAGGATTATGAGTTCATTTGTCACCACTACTAATAGCCACTCAAAATTCCTTTTGAGGTGCTGTATGCTTCTGCTGATTAGAATTCTCCGTCTTCCACTGTGGGAATGCCAACTCAGCCTTCCGGTGCAACTCTGATTCTCCTCTCCCCAACTACCTTTTCCTTTTACTAAAGTGGGAGCTATTTAAGAATAGCAATTATATCCAATATGTTTCTTTAGAGAGTCAGACCAGCACAAAAAAGAATTCTCAATAAATATTTATAAGGAAATATACACCAAATCTCTAAGCCTTTACTTGAAAAGGATGCTGACTTTTTACTGGGCTACTTTAATTGTTAGTAAGACACTGGATTTTCAGAAGCTTAAAACATATGTAATAAGGCCCTCCCTGGTAGTGCAAGGGGTTAAGTCTCAGCACTATGAAGTAATCTTCAGTGCTGCAGCATAAATTCGATCCCAGCCAGGGAGCTAATCCACATGGGATAGCCGACCTCTCCTGTCTCTCCCACTGTTCCCCTCAGCAGTGCATTTCAGTCAATCTGCCTGTTTTGCTCCCCACTCTGTCTCTGGTGAATCCTGTCACACAGACCCCACCTCTGGCCTACACCCCAGTTCTTCTATGTAAAATAAAAAATAAATAATAAGAATATACAAAAAAAAATAAATAAAAGAATCTGAGTTTTATGTCACTTAGCAATTGCTAATGGCTCCTGAACTTTGGAAAGAATCTATCAGGAAGCACTGTACTTGTTAATGATCAATATGCATACAGGAGGGAACAG